TGCTGACTAGTCTCATTCAGATCCTTACATGCTGTATTCAAGCACGGTAGGCAAAAAAACTATGGAAGTAAATGAGCTGCTGTGAGTGACTATAATCATAAAGATGTCCCTGTTGATGGCCAGTCCAGGAGGAAAGTGCTGATCACCACATTGTGTTCTGACACATTATGCTTTGCGAGCAAACACTGCAGTGAATGTCAAAATGGCATCACAGTCAATGTGGCACACATCGAACGGAGAGGTGAGTGATGCTGCTGAGTGAGCACCTGTATCCCTGAGGTCTGTCCAATTATCCTCCTGTGTTTACAATGTAATGTATCCCAACTATATTCTACCCAGATATAGCCAGTGCTTGAGGGGAAGGCAGGCTTTGCTAGCTGCTCTTAGTAACCATCTGCAACAGCAATGTTGCCCCTTTGATTATCGCATACAGGTCACCCTGTGTTGAGGTAAACTGAGGATTCCTAGGTGTTAATGGAGCTAAGACGTCAGAGGAGTCACCTTTAAAGGATAATAAGAGGACTGCTGACTGACTGCAGACCACCCAGAGGGAAATTCGTGCTCCTCATATGAATAGAAATGTGATACTGACAGGGAACCTTCCCCAGGAGAGAGAAACAAAGAGATGGCAGAAAAGCAAGAGCAAGTGAAAGGGAGTGAGAATAAATGAGAGAGTGAGAGCGAGAGGACTTAGCACTGCGGTTAGTTTTGTGCTGCTAAACCATCTGAAGCATTGGCTGGTGACTGCTAGTCGATGGGCCAGTGCGAGCACTGTGTTGTCATCAACATTTGGGATCCACTTCATGGAGGCACATTAATGATGCTTTTAGCATAATTTCTCCACTGTAATGTGAAGTGAAGGGCAAGCAGCACCTTTCTCTCTGCCTGTAGCTTCAGTGAGCCTTATAAATTTTGGCTATTGGACTGAGGGTGGTGACAGAGGCACACTGCACCACAGGCTCCATCCCCACTCTTTAAAGCAAGGCATAAGGTGGTATCATTGCTTTGTTCGAAAGCTTAGTAACAGTAGGCACAGTTCGTTGTATAATACGTTGCAAATAGAAACCAGAAAAAATGCCCATACTATTTGAAGGATAAAACTAATTCCAAGAACACAGATCTGCATTCATCTTTATGAGCATCACAGGATTTGTGTTCAGATTTTAAAAAAAGCAAGTGCCAACTCTAAGTTTATATTTGTCTTAAGTGCCATTTCAATATAGGTTGTCAGATGCCATAGGATGTTTAGCTAATTCTAGGCTGTCCACATTGAGAGACAAAATAAATAAATAAACGAATAAGGGAGTTTAAAAAAAGCAAGTACTGTAGAAAAGCACGGCTTTGTTTTCATCTGTGCCGTTATCAGCAGAAGCTGACTTGCATCAGGAATAGGGAGGGATGATTTCCATAAAGACTGGCTGTTGTCTGAAAGCAAGCAGCTGTCAGGCAGAATTACCTCTCTGACACAGACACCACAATCGAGGGCGCCCTTCCCATAATTCAGTCTGATTGGCTCAAGGGGAAAATGGCAGCCTGCGGAGAGAGAGTCGAGCGGCTGGTTGACAGGTTTGCGTCTGTGAAGCTAGACACTGCGTTTACCTGTTATCATTCAGTCCACTCAACGTGTCAGTTTTCTCAGATCGGAAAGCTACCTGAACAAAGTGACACAGAGAATGGAGTCCACGGTGTGAGAAGGGAAATGCATGTCCATACTCTATTTCATACACGCACACATACAAACATGTGGGACACATTTCTGATACCACAATAAACAGCAGTCCTCTTGTAAATTATTATCAATATGAAGCACATATATTTATTCTATAAAATTCAGAGCCAGACTAGCTGTTTTCCCCTGCCTAAAGTCCTTATGCTAAGCCAGACTAACCACCTCCCAGCTGTAGAATCTTATGTCATGCACAGACATGAGAGTTGAACCTTGTCATCCAACTCTTTGTAAGAATGTGAAAAATGATCTCCCAAAATGTCAAGCTACTGTAAAAACACTTAAGAAAGTATCAGTTACAATAAAATGTATTGTACTTTTGTGGACTGCAACTGAAAAAATTAACATTACTCAAATGTAAAACTAAATATTAGTTTAGTTTTTCTAAATTAAAAACAATGTCATTTCAGATATATACAGTAAAAAATACCTAGCATGCACAAGAATAGAAACAGACTAACACATATGCTCAAATACAAACATTCTTATTTATGTATTTGTATACATTAAGACGAGCAAGCGTGCAAAGACATATAAACAAATTTTCTATTTGGTGGTAAGTATGTACACAAAATTAATAAAATGTGTATACAAGCAGGCATCTATGAACAACTGCAGGCACACACATACACACAGTCACACACATACTCCACACCTATGCTAAATGCTCTTATCTATGACTTGTGCAGAGGTGAGTGACAGGAAGGGAGGCACAGGGGGATGTGTCCTTTAGGTGTCTTAATTATGGCTCTTCTCCTCCCTCTCGCTGTCACCGTCCCCAGGGGAGGGCAAGACAAAAGCAAGGCAATGTTTCATCTCTGCTGCCTTGGTATTTCAAATTCCAAGGGGAGTAGAAAAGAGAGACAGCAGGATGTAACATTGGAGGGAGAAGAGGAAATCAAGTGATGCTTCCCCTTTTGCTCTGTTTCTCTCTCCTTGCCTCCATTGCAGCTGTGTTTAAAATAAGGCACCTTAATAAAAGCGTTTTAATGGTGCCAAGGCAGGAAAAAGACACAACTTGATTACTGCGACGATTTTATTTAATGAGCTCAAAGCCTCTGGCTCTGACTAATTCGTTTATTACTTTGTTGTGAGGAAATATATGTGACAAAATGGAGCAGAGGGAGTGAGAGAATGAGCCTGAATGCTTTTATCGTGGAAGTCATCCGTGGCGTTAGCAATCGTCTGTTTGATTTACACCTTCCCCAATGCTCACCTGGGCTTTTCATCAGGCCTCGCCAGGAGAATGCTGCTCCGCAACGACAGAGCGAAAGGTGTCAGAGACACCTTGGCAGGTAGGCAAATACAAAAGCAGCCTGCCGTTAATTATTGATGGGAATAAATTGCACTCACTGGATGTTTTGCAGTGCAATGCATGGTCGATGTGAATACAAATGTGTTTATGAATGTGTGAGTGTGTGTGCCGAAGAACAAAGATTGGATGAGAAAACAGCATAAAGCAAGAGAGAAGGGGGTTAGCAAGAGAAGGAGGAGGAGGAGCGGATAGACTGATGACAGTGGTACCCGGTAAAGCGACATTAGAGAGATGCAGAGGGAGTCTATAAAAGCAAACTACTCCTTAATGTCCGTTGCAAGTGTGATAAAAGCACAGAGCTGAAGCATAGAATGCTTTTCCATTTGTGTGAAGAGAACGAGGGAACATTCAAAAATAAACTATTGTACACAAATGGTGAGAGAAAATAATAGGAAATGAATGACACATGCAAACAAACATTCTAAAAAGGTCAGCTCTTTTGTTTTGGGAAACGAGACCTGTCTCATGAAAATATTGACTGAGAAAAGGGGAGCAATGAAAAGTGTGGTCTTAAAATGAAACGGACAAAGAGCATGGCTTCTTATCTGTATATTGAGAGCCTGCCCTCTTATAAATATTGGAAGAAGGACACTGGTGGGAAGAGCGAAACGGCCAAATGGCGCATTTGAGAAATGGCACACCTGAGCACCGCACAGAATATCATCTCCTCCTGTCAGATCTCATCCCATTTGATCAAAATAATTGCACCCTTCATCGTTATCATCAACTCTGTCATCTTCACTGGAGCCATCACCATTCTCCATCTCATCAGGGCTTCTTTAGCTTCAGTGGGGGGTTTTGGATCAGATGAAATGCGGACCATCTCATCTGAGAAAATCACTCACTACCCTCATAGTCATCACCATATTCATTGCTTTAATGCTACTGCCATTTTGTTCACCTATTTAGATTTTCTGACACCAGCCAATCTTTGGCTGATGCAAAAAGTAGCCTGGGTTACCCACATGGGCTCGTCTATCATAGAGGCCCCTCCTGTGCTTTAATAGTGATTGCATGCAGAACCAGTGAAGAAATAAAAAGATTAGAAAAGAAAAATGAGAAGAGAACAACACGATCACTGCTAGCAAGGACTGAGAGTTCACATACAACCAACAAGTCAGATTCTTGTTCTGGTACCACAGTTCTTTTAGAGGATAACTAACAAGATAGTTAGCTAATTGACAATCTGCTAAAACTGACACAAAGCCAAACAGGTAACAATCAACATTCACTCACAATTTTAATATACAGTACATGCTTCTAAGGTAAATGGTGAATAAATACTATACATACCCTACAAGTATTGTATGCTTCTTCCTCTATGCCACACCTCTCCATGTATATCGGTGTCTGTCAACCTGGTTCCATTGTACCCTCTCTGTAATGCTGAAACAACCTCTCTCATTTGCTTCCACTTCAGCAGGCTAATATTACTGCACAACACAGGACAAGTAGCTGGTTAACCCCGAGTTAAAGCAGGGTGAGCTCGCACACTGGCAACAAACCCAGTTTGCTGTGAAATGATGAGACGCACAGACAAAGCTCACACACAACTAAGTCCATATAACCACCAAAGGCACTGACAAATGTACAAGCAAAGTCTTGATCCTGACTCGTGACACTACAGCTTTGTCATGTCTCAGCGCATGTCAGTAAAATAAAACAGATCTACATCACAATCACCTCCCAGCTTGTCATATGACAAGACACAAATGCAGTTAACACCCACATTCGAGAATCTTCTTGTATTACAGTGAGCAAGTCTTTCATAAAACAGCAAAGCATTGCAGAAAATCGCTCTCTTTAAAAATATGTTTATGGACAAAACCAGTTTGTACTGTACGTCGGCGCTTTCTGATCCATCGACATTTAAGTTTGTTGAGTGTATAACATTAAAGCTGAATGCCAAACAAACTAAAGTTAAATGACGATGCAAGAGGAACTTGTTTTTAAACTTACCTTGGCCATTTGGGCCTGCACCCCAGTGGCTTTGAGAGATGACACGGCCTTCTGTGCTGCAGCTGGGCTGTCAAAATCCACAAAGCCGTAGCCTGGAGAGAGAAAAGAAGACAGGGAGAGAGAGAGAAATGGAAAAATGAAGGCAGATGACTAACAAGGAGAATGACAGACACTGGGTAATTGTAGCAGTAATAGGTTGGTAACATGACTACAGAGGCTGCCAGTTCTCATATCTGGTGAGCACTACATTGTTTGATAATTAGCAACACTGACGCTTATAGGGGGACGCTATGCATCTTAATTAGTAGCATGGATGAACGATTTAGTAATAACAAACCCCGGCACCCTGCCCACCTCAACCTGCACCTCCACACACACACATGCAGATGTAGGCACTGTGCATGAGCAAACACACACAGAAATAAGCACAGAGCGGAAGGTAAATCAGGAATAAAGGTCATCACTGTTGCAATTCTGTTGAAGGGAAAATCTGATTTGCAGTTTAATGACTCAAGCTGATATGTATTCATTTCAACATGTATAATAATCCTGTTCTACAGTATAATGAGATGATAATTTCTGAAAAGTCCATGGTTAAAAATCTGTCATTAAAGAAAAATTACACACATACTGTACATACAAACACACAGAGAGGCACCACTGAGTCGTTTTCATGTTTCACTTTTCAGCCTTTTGATTTTCTAAGACTGAAGTTGGCTGGCTGACATCTTGTTCTTCAACACCCAGCATATTAACAAAATGCCATTTCACAGCTTCTGTAATCCCCTCCTCGGTAAAAATAAAAAATCCGTCAAAGCATACCAGAGCTATCGCTGCCTCTCTTTTTCTCTTTCTTTAACTCCCTACACACTTGCAGTAAAAACACACACTTATATTTCTCACAGATGTAGCCTTTATCTTCTTACTGTCCCACTCTGTCTCTAGCACGCTCTCTCCGTCTCTCATATTTTTTCTGACATTAACAACCACCAGCCCCCATCTGGAAATTCATCAGCAGAGGAAAGCAGAGGGAATGAAATCTGTGGCTGTGATTTATGAGTTATTGTGATCCAGACATTCTCCGGGATGTATCGGAGACGGGGGTCACGTCTGTGTTAATTAAAATTTGGTGGCGGATTAAAAGCAGTCAATGGCGCCCTCTGATCCACTGTTTCAGAAGGAAAGTGTAATTAGGAAAGGATAAAGCATGTGAGGTGGGGGGTGGGGGACTTGCTGTGGCGGTTACCTCATCATGCTACAAGCAGTCACACACATGACCAAACTTACACACACAGCACCTCGCTTTCTCATCACGTGGGCGCACCGCACTTCACTTTATACTGTACAGTCAACAGGCATCTCTCTTTGTGCTGTGTGTGATGCCTGTCTGCGTGGTGGTACTGGTGGTGAAGGGGTGGCCGTTGGGGGTCATTTTCCTGTCGGATGGCGGCGAAGGAATCTGGCGCAACGTGTAAATCATAACCTGTGGGGGGAGCGAAATCAAACGCGAGGACAGGTTAACGGCCGGCTATTAGAGTGGGTCTGGAAGGGGTGGGTCTTCAATTGTAAAAATATATAGAGTGAAATGTCATGACTCAAATACAGATGACAGTCAAAAAAACTGGACCTTTTCTTTGAATAGCACAAGCTATCAGGGATTTTTTGAAGCGGCTGCAATTAGACCATTTATTTAGCTTAAGAAAACTACAAACGTTACTGAACAAATTTCATGGGACTACAGATGGATAACAAAATACCAGCATAAACTGTCTATAAACTATGAATTACCGTAACAGTCTCAGTGTCTCGGCGTAGACTACAAGTCTCCAGAACTCTAGTGGAGGGATGAAGATCATTGCTCTCCAAAATGTTTCCTCCTCCTGGTGATTTGATGATGGTGCTAGAAAAGCTTTAGACTTTTCTCTGCTATTGGTTTATGGTTGGGTTGAGATCTGGTGACTGACGGCTACAGCATGTGAGTCACATTGTTTTTATAACTACTCATTAAACTCTTTAGTGACGACTTGTGTTTTGTGTGGTAGCATCTGCATTCATTATGTTTCTAAACTAATTTTTTATTCAGGAAATTAGTCACATGTCTGTGTAATGGCAGAGCGTCCACCAGAAGAACTGTGATTTTCCCCAGTGGGTCACTACACAAATTGAGCTGGTGGCTCAGACTGAAAAATCAAAACACTGGAGAGACACAAATACTTGAGGAGGGAGCATGAAAGAAAGATGGACAGCAATGTGTCACGGTGACTATCAATGGCAGACGACAGAGAAGAGTGGATTCAAGACCACAGGTCCCAGTAAGTCCAGTAGCCTACAAAAACCGGTCCCATTTTACAACATTAGCAGTAGGCTGAAAACACCAGGAAGCTGGTCTGACTTTACTTAGCAGGGAAATATTGTAAAGCTTTGTTTCATCAGAAATTCTAAGTGTGTGATTAGCTCAGACCTTCAACATTTTATTACAGAAAGCCACTAAAATCAAAACTTGTCTTGTTCTACAATTACTGCTATATGGTCCTATTTGAATTTTAATCTCATGCCTTCTATAGCCTACTAACTTGTGGTTACAGAGAGTGCAAAGTGAGGAGTTTAAACACAATATAACACAGTGAAAACTGAACAGCAGTACCAGTTACCTTACCTATTAATGTTAAGTTGTGTGTGTGTGTGTGTGTGTGTGTGAGAGTCAACCTAGGTTCAGAGACTGTACCTACTGTGGTTTTGGATTAGCAATATGATGACGTCAGGTGTTTCTCATACAGTTTTTCTTCGCAAACTAATCATCACAGAATGTGTAACGGATTTCTGTAAATTAGTTAGATACTACAGAACATTAAACATAAAAAATACATACATATAATTGAGGTGTCGGTATTCCTACAAATCATTCTAGTTAACTTAACCTCTATTTACTACATGAATCGTGTGAAGGGCTGTATATGTGTGGTTCCAGATGGGTTTGGGTGGACCAGTAAAAAGTCTTGGGCCGATTTTTATTCCCATATTTCCCCTGCACCTGTGATGTTCTGGCTGAAATAAATTCACAGTGAGGTGGAATAACAGGAGTAACAGAGACACTGTTTTTCGTTTTGCTGCTGTTGAAAATTTTAAAAGCAATTTTTCAACGCTGTGAGCATGGAAAACGAATTTGTGTTCACCTCAGCTGCACTAGGACAGAGGTGAAAAACTCAGGTAAGGATATCTCCAATTCTAGATGAGTAAAACCAAAACAGTCTGCAAGGCTAAATACCACTGGGTGTGCCTTTTTGTACTTGAATGAACTGACACAATGAAAGCACACTTCACTTTTTCCCCTCACTTTGGATCTAAGAACATATTAACAGCACATTAAGAGAACCACACAGACTGTTACCAAGGCCCTCTGGGCGATGGCTGACTCTCTTTAATAATCAGAATATTCCAATGGTGGATACTTGGGACCTTGAACTACAAATTTAATATTCACTCCACCACTACCTGGAGTGCCCTTATCAAACTTTCAGCATTTTTTAGCGCTGACCTATATTCAGATGGCTCTGAATGGAGGAAGAAGTGCAGGAAGGGCAGACAGAAAGAGAGAGAAAGAAAGGGTGTGTACAAAAGGAGTGAGGAAAGGGGTTATTTGGGGTCAGCTGAATGCACTGAAGAAGTTCAGTAACATGTCCAGTTTGCTCTTTCTCTGCGTGGTTATTGTAACAGATATATACTGTGTATATAAATCCTGTAAAGTGGAAAGTTTGATTTGTAGCTGCAGAATAAACTGTTTAACACTTGTTTGGTGGAGACATTGCTAATCTCCATTTGTGCTTTTATCAGGAAGAATAGTTGTGGAGGTTACAGAGAAGTCTGACTCTCTGTAAATGTGTGCATACTGTATGTATTTGTGAGTGCTTCTCCTTGAGTACTTGCAAGACAGAGCTATAGTTGTATATGTAGCATTTAATACATTTTCAAAATAAAATATATATTTTTTTGTATGTATTTGCTGAAACACCATCTAGGCTAACCAAAAAAGCTAGCAATGTTTGTTATTTTTGTGAGGCACACACAAAATTCCATTCACCTTTGTTGTATTGGGGTGGAGATAGAAATAATACTGTACAGAACAATACTGGATATTATTACCTGGCCAAGCAAAGCTAAAACCTTCAGCATGGCTAAATATCATCAGAGGAAGTGGAAGTCAGAAAACATGTTTTTAAATTTTTTTTTATCTCTCCAGGACTACATTTGTATATGTCTTCAGAAATGACTATGTTACTGACTTGGTCAGTCATTGAGTAGAGGAAAAGTCAGTAACATAGTTGTGGAAAAGCAGCAGGGTCAAAAAAAAGTTACACTCAATTTAAGAGACCACATTCCACACACTTGCACAACACACGCACACACAGAGGCATGCAGATGTTGCCTTTCTGAAGCCAAGTACATGCTGTACTACTACTGAATTTAATGCGGGTACTCTAGAGTTACTATCTCAAGTGGGATGCAGAGGGCAAGGTGCTGCTTTGAAACTTCCGCAACAACACAAACATCCAATCAATAGCTGTCACTTAAAAGCAGCTCACACAGACTGACTACATGCATGGCTGCTGATAATGGTGTGCACTAAAAATGCACATGCTGAAGCACATGTATACCAGTACATAGGAAGGATAACACACACACACACACACACACACACACACACACACTGTGTGTCTGTGAGAGGAATACGGAGAACATGATCTGCCATATCATATTTCGTGAAATGGCTTTAACAGTGAGTCTGTCAAGATTAAAGGGCCATCTTCAATCAGTTACTACAGGGCGGTGCTACAGTATGCTTACCACTGCTTCTTGTATGTTGTATCAGGCAGGGTGCTCTCTAACATAGCCCCCCTGTGGAGGTCTAGAACTACAGCAAATGCAACCTTAGGCTACACTCCACACAAAAGTCTTCAGCAGAGAGTGGAGATAAGGGACTTATTACAGTGTGTGTATCAACGTATCAATCATCCATGCATCATTCATGCATTCACCATCATATTATGTTAATCCTAATTACTTCTGGGGAAATTACCATTCTTTATCTGCTAAT